ATGGAAAACAATTGGGTTTGTTATCTTCCCTTCCCCATCAACAACACAGAAACACATCCATGAGCACAGAGGCCATGTGCAATCCAGTGGGGAAACAGCCTCTGCAGCAATGGGAAGGGTTCAATGACCCTTTTACTCCCAGTGGTAGCACAGAGAGGTCACCTGGAGAGCTCCATGCAGCCCTTTGCTCCTCTCCTCAGCTCTGCTGGCTCCTTACCTGACAGAGAGAGTGAAATCCCCAGGATTGCTCTTGCTGGGCCGAGCCAGAAAGCTGCCATGGACACCCCTGGTCAGGAGGAGCTTCTCAGCCTCAATTCCACTGATGTTGGGATGAAACCACCTGCAAAGAGGAAAAGAGACATGTAAAGGTGATTGACCTGAGCCTCCTCTGCTATATTCCCACCTAGGAGGCAGCCACAGAGCCCCAGTCCTATCCAGCTCCTCACCCTCCTCCCATGTACCAGACCAGGGTAGAAAATGGAAATACAGACAATTCACCCTGAGGGGGAAAATGTTTCATCATATTCTCTGCTACTTTAATGGAATCTTTGTATTTTAAGTGCCATCAACCCATCTCCTAACCTCATTTCTGCTGCTATCAGTCTCAATCAAGTTTGCTTGATGGAATCACAAGAACTGGTGTTTCCCTAGGCTTTAATAAGTGCTAAATATGCATATTACACCAATGATTTCCCATGTGGCACCAGTTTTATGGCTCCAGTTTTCAGAAGCCACTGAAAATGCACTTTCTAAATGCCAAGGACTTTTGAGTAATCTCCCAAATCCCACACAGAGCACCCCAAGACAAGAGACATTCAGTTCTCAAAGTATTGCTCAGCTTTAGTTCATGTTCCAGGAGGCATCTCTGCATGGGACTGATGGAATATTTGATCTGAGCAACGAGATGAGCCACAACTATCACTGGATGGTAACAAAGTGAGGTTATTGAGTGGGTTTTGGGGCAGCAGCAGCTGGAAGAGAACAGGCTGCACACTCAAACCCCTTCAGTGGGAAGGACAGTGTTATAAAGGTCTCTGCATGTCCAGCAGGGCAAGGTTTATTGTTCCAAGCAAGTTCATAGTAGTTTCATAGTATGTTAAAGAGTTGGAACAGACCTTAGAGCTCATCTAGTCCCAACCCTGGGGCAGGGAGACCTCCCACCAGAGCAGGTTGCTCAAGGCTTGATCCAACCTGGCTTTGAACACTGCCAGGGTTGAGACATCCAAAACCTCCCTGTGCAACCGATGATAATGTGGATTTTCAAGAAAAGACTATCTGGAAGCATTTAGTAAGCTGATTTCTGGGCTCCAGCTGCCCCTGGATCAGATTAGCCAACACACTGTCCCTCCAAAGGCTTTACAAGTTTAGCTCAGTGGTTGCAGGGAAATGCCTGACCAGCATCTCCCCTGGATTAGGAAATAGACCCAAACCAACCCTCCAAACAGAGCCTGTTTGTCTCTGAGGTACACACAGAAAAGGTCAAGAAATGTCAGCATCTCCTCCCGAATTTGGGATTTCCTCCCTCCCACCACAAGTCAAACAGTTTAGGCTGCAGAGCCTTGAATCCTGCAGGGGAAGAGATCTACTAGGGAAGGGCTGTGGAAACAGATGGTAAACAGGAATTCTAAGCTTGTATTCCTGCCCCTGCAGGAGGGACACCCTTTCCCAAAGCCACTGTTTGCAGGGACAGCACTTAGCTGTGCCTCAGAGCTGCTGCTGGGAGAGGGAAGAATGTTCTAATGGGGCTTAATGGAGCTCAGGGCCATTCCATGCTGCCAAAGGCCACCTGGAATGTTTCCACTGCCTGCTAATGGCAGTAAAACCAGCAGATTTCTAGCCAGAAACCAGCAGGGAAAAACCTAAGGACATCTCTCTGGGCAAACAGTGGGATGAGAGCTCTTGTAGGGATGGACACAGAGCTGTGAGCACAGAGCAGCTTGGAGAGAATCATGGGCAGTGCCCACACTCCTTAAGGGCTTCCCAGAGCTCCCCACACCTCTCCTCATCCCCACATCACTCCAGAATCCCATGGAAACACAGGTGATCCCACTCCAGGATCCCATGGAAAAATAGGCTGTCCTGGGATGCTGCACCTCAGCTAGAGCCAGACCTGTGTGAGGCTGAAAATGGACAACTGGCAGTGTGAGAACTGAGGTGCTGAGGCTGTAAATATTTCAGCATCCAAAGCTCCCCCAAGGAACAGGCAACAGGAACAAAAAGACCTTATGCCCAACCTCCTTCCAGCTTGGAAGGGAGGTCACAACCCTCTTCCTTTTCCACTGCTGACCACAAAATCCATTCCCAACTCTGTGTTCAGGGGACTCTGTTTTCATTATTCCAAGAAATAAAGAGGATCCAAACCAGATCCCCAGCACAGGAAAATTAATCAAGGGCATTATTAATCCCAGGCCATGGTTTGATGTCAGCAGAAGCTAAGCAGCAATGTGGATGGGTCAGTCAGCAGCTTTCTGCAGGCTGAGTCCTCCCTGGAGAATCCCTGGGAAGAAGAGTGAGGATCCAACAACATTTCATCTCTGCAGTTACCAGTAAATATACTCTGCCTACCTCAGGCAATCCCTCTTGCCTGTGGAGAGATGCATTTGCCTTCCATCACTCAATCCAGCTGAAATGAAACTCAAATCAAAGAGTCACCCCCAAGGGCTTTTCAGGAGCCAAAGCTACACAGGGAAAGTTATTAAGATAAACAGGGGGGGGGGAAAGGGAGAGATGTGCATGCAGTGCTAGTCCCCAGCACAGAGCAACACAAAGATGACTTAATTCCACTGAAAGGGAATGGAAAGATCCATCAGCTCCTTGCATTGGCACATGGAGACTCTGTTGGCAGTGCTGAACTCCATGGAGCTGAGGCAGAAGTGATGCTGAGGCAGCCACAGAGGCAATTCCCTCTCTGTAAGGTTATGATTCCTTATCATGCAGAGCATGGCATGACATTTCTGGGAAAAGAGCAACAAAAAGAGGCCAAACTTTCCTAAAGAGATGGAAATGAGCAATTCCATGTTAGCTGAGGAGGTCATACACATCCTGTGGCTTAATTTAGCCAAGTGCCTTTGCTCACAGTGATGCTGCTCTGGGGCTGGGGATGTTTCCATGCTGAATTATTAAGTGTTCCCATCACTGCAAGCTGTTCCACACAGGCTTGGCTGCACACAGAGCAATGCTCCAATCTGACACAGCTGCAGCAGCTTCTTTGTTGGGCCTAGTGTGGTTCCATTCAAACCCCATCCAGAGACTCCCCACATTGAGAAGTGTAATCCCTCCAGGGAGTGTCGTCAATAAATATCATCTGCAGAGTCTTCACTTCTCCACACAGGTAAATACTTCCATTTTCCTAAAGCAATTAGCATCCTGACAGGTAACTGTGCCACTGCACATCAGCTGATTCCCCCCTAAGGCTTTTGTAACCAGCTTGAAACCAAACAAAAAGCCTTATTAATTACATCCCTAAATCAGCTCATCCCTTGCCATGGCAGGTGCTGTGTGTCCATTCCCTGGGGGGCAAAAATCCCTTCTATACAAACCAGTTTCCTTCCATACATATGTTTTGCAGAGATTTTCAGGCTCCCCAGGGCAATGGTGGAATCTCCATCTCTGGAATTGTCCAGGAAACAAGTGGATGTGGCACTTCACCATATGGTTTTGTGGCCATGCTGGTGGTATTGGGTCAAAGGATGGACTTGGAGGTCTTTTCCAACCTTAATGATTCTAGTGGATCTCACACCCTTGGTGAGAGTGGTTAATTACTTGCTCTGAGAAGGTTAACATCTCATTTTCACCCAATTCCAGAAGGATTTTGATGTCTAGCAGCTCATTGAGAGAGTCCAACACAAAGCTCCAGCTCACAGCAAAGTGTTCATGCAGAAATCTGACCTCTTTCCCCAACTCCAACTGACTCCAACACCTGAAGAACAGCACAAACTGCCTCTGGACATTCCCTTCCTGCCTCCAGTGCCTTCTCAGCAGCTTTCCAAGTCACTTGGCACATCAAAAATCCAGGCAAGGGCAACTTTCCCAATGCACTCAGCAGTGTCTGGGACAGCCCAGCCCAGTGTCCTGCTGCAGGACACATCACTGATGCTTCACCCATGCAAAGTGGGTGCAAAACAGCCCTGGCTGCTGCAAGGAAAAGCTCAGCCCACACCTCTGCCCATCAGATGGTGACCTTAGAGTAGTTTCAGAGTGTGTTAAGGGACTGGAATTGACCTTAGAGCTCATCTAGTGCCAACCCTGGGGCAGGGACACCTCCCATCAGAGCAGGTTGCTCAAGGGTTTATCCAGCCTGGAATGAACATTGCCAGGGTTGGGGCAGCCACAGCCTCCCTGGGCAACCTGTGCCAGTGTCTCACCACCCTCACAGGGAAAATCCTCTTGCTAATATCTAATCTAATCTACATTTCCCCTCTTTTAATGTATCCCTTTCAGGAGAGATGCAGCAGAGCTGCTTTGAGCTGCAAGAGCACCTAACGCTCCTCTCTCTGTCACCTTCAAAGTGGGTTTAACTCCCCACCCACGCCTTGGTTTGAAACTCAACTGTACCAGTCAGTGCTGGTTTCACCCAGAGCCCTGGAGAGGAGCTTTTTCCACCAGTGGCCCTTGCCTGAGAGCACACTGGGCACAGCAGCTGCTATCAGAAACCCTGAGTTTAGGCAGGGATTAGCTCAACAACATCACTAAATCATCTTTATGCCTCTGTCACTTAATTCCAGCTTCAGCAGAGCTGAAGGAAGATGCTGGGCAGCCCCTCAGCTGCTATCCTAGGGGGTGGAGGTGGCTTTTGCTGAAGCAGGAAGAGGAGAGAGCACATCCAAACCCTAGAGACAGCAGTTAAAGCACTCCAGGAGCTCTTTCCTTCCAGAAACAGGAGCAGGCAACACCCTCCTGGCAGGGAGCTGCTGCAGACAGCTTCCATTTCCCAGCTCTGGAGCCTCAGCTGGCATTAATTGTTAATTCATATAAATTCCCAGCTCCCTGCCACAGGCAGGAGGCTGCACTCATCTCCTCCCTGTGATTCAGTGTTTCTAGAGAAAGGATTCCAGTCCCTGCTTGCCACTGGCACATCTATCCCTGTTCGCCACGTGCTGTCCCATTCATTCCCCTCCTGGAGCTTCTACCTCACCTCCTAAAAGCAGCAGCACATTCATGATCTCTCTCAGCAAAGAGGTTTCAGTTGGTTAGGTGGCTAAAGCAATGGTTTTGACCAAGGAAATGACATCAAGACAGACAGAAATCACTCCAAGGACCACCAAAAACTCCTGCCACAAACAGCTGCCAAGGGGATGCAGCAGCTCCTCTGCCTGGATGGATGCACAGGCATCATCCAAA